TCTCTCTCTCTCTCTCTCTCTCTCTCTCACACACACACACACACACACACACACAGTTAAAAAAAAAAAAAAGCCACATGTGGTGGTACACATCCCAGTACTCAGGAGGCTGAGGCAGGAGGATCACAGTGAGTTTGAGGCCAGCCTGGGCTACACGAGCAAGTTCAAGGCTAGCCTGCACTACAGAGCAAGACCCTGTCCCCACTGCCCCCAAAAAAGTACACTGTTCATCAACTGACAAAGCTGGGCCACTTCTGATGGTTGTCCTTCTCCAGCAACTATCAGCACTATATGAGGGCTTGAAGGAACAAAAAAATGTTCTTGAAGACACCTGGACTACTAGGATTGACACACTATTCACAAAAAAACTTCCACATGAACATAGCAACTGAGTGGATGAATCTTCATGCCCAAGTCACTGTGTGGCTTCCCTGGAGCCAATCTAGAAAGCCACCCCAGGGACAGCCCCCAGTGTACTGACAAGATGATCATGTTCTTCTGAAGGAATCCAAAACTGAATTCTGCAGGATGAAACTAGAGTTGTGGTAAGATGCTAAATTCAGGTTTTCCCTCCTTCTTTATGAATACTCTTCTAGATGTTAATCACAAAGATGAAAGCCAGATAAAATGCAGCTGACATCAATACAATGTCAAAGGTGCCAAGTACAGTCCCTATGCTAGTATTATTTTAATAATACTAAGAGTATTTACCACTCTCTCTGCAAACTTACTTTGATTTCTGTCAAATTTCAGATACATCCGTAACATTATTATTGAGGAAACAGAATGTACGGCCTAATTGTATTTATATTGGAACTGTGAAGGGTATCATTAATAGCTCTTTTTATTTCTCTGAGATGGTATGACTTCAGATTACTTTCTTAATATTTTAATTGCTTACAGCGAGTTATTTTTATGTACAAAAATCATAAAGGGAAGCCATTTTCAGGGGAAAAAGAAGGTTCTATAGATTCTGGAGATAGTTCCAAGTTAATCTCTTAAATGCTCTTGAGACACTACTTCATGGGTCGAAGTTCTGAGAGACACAGAATCTTTGCAATAAGAAAAAATGTTTTTCTTCAGTCTTCTATCTGCAGTTACCAAAGTTTTTGGCACATGGCACGTGTCTCTTTTTCTCATGAAATGAATATGCACAGTCCATGTTGATGTTCAATTTACAGACAATTCATTTTTTAAATCTTTGTTTTATGATCCTTCCATGTATTCTAACAAAGGGAAGGATATTATTTGATGTTTTAATGAAATTCAGTGCCTTTTGGAAAAAACTTTAAAATCAGTAGTAGGAGTCAAAAAACTAAGTTTTCTAAAATGGTTTCTAAAAAGATTAATCAATAGAAAACATAAGAATGGGTGAAACGGGACTACGATGAAGTAGGTGGCCAAGCAGGTGGCAGCACAAGAAACCAACTGAGAAAGAGAATGCAAGAAAATAGCCCTCCTCTGCTCTTCATCCTGTTTCCAACACAGCCGGACTGTAAGCAAGCACTGCTATGACTGGTTCTACTCTTACATCTGCCTGGGATCCACAGGCCTGTTTTGCAGGTATTTGTTGAACAAGTGAAGGCTCCACAGGGAGAGAGAAAGGGCAAGACGGGTGCGGCTTTGCTTCATGTTCCAAAGGGAAGCACCTATTCTCTGACAAGCAAAAAACCAGAGGAGGATTGTTCCAACTATCAGCTGGGTCAGAATGACTCCCACTGATTTAAATGTCATTTGTGACACAGCTACAAAAGCAGTCAGATATTAACCTTTTTTTTTTTGGTCTTTCTGAGACAGGGTCTCCCTATGTAGTTCAGGCTAGTCTTGAGCTCACTTTGTAGCCCAGGTTGGTCTCCAACTTGCAATGATCCTCCTGCCTCAGCCTCCCAAGTGCTGGGATTACAGGAGTGCACCACCATGCCTGGCATTAATTTGTTTTTATCAGTAACCACAGACAAGTGTCCTGAGGTCTATGGAATGAAAGATTAGTGCCTAATTTTTTTGGATGGGGCTTAGATCAAGATAGCACTTAGTATTTTTCTTTAAAATACTTTGTTTGTTAGATTTTTAGACACAGAGCAAATAATGTATCACTGGAGTAATTACGCATTTTATTGCCCACACTGAGATACTTCTGAAAGTAAATGGCAGCACTGGTAGCAATTATTCTAGCGACAAAATGATGCCAAGAAGACAGACATGAACAGGACCTCTTGGACAAATGGACACCCACTACAAACACAAGATGTCTTTGTCATGTTTATATTCTTTTTCAACTTCTCTATTAATTACCCAACATAACATATGGCAGTAGTTTAACACTGAACACTGAGTGACAGCACAGTTTTGCTCTCTAGTGAAGATATATTTTCTAAGTGATGAAACGTACTTTCCACACTTCTTCATTGTACTTAAACTTTCGCAGGATAAACCACTGTCTGAATGGATCTGAGGAAAGTCTGCTTGAATTTCTCTAACAACAAAAATAACATGACTGTGATTAAAGTACTTAATCACATCTTAATTTTTCTTCCCAAAATGTTAACTAGAGAAGCTTAGCGTGTTTTGCTCTACAAACTCCCACAATGACAAACCCCAATTACAGCCTATATGTCATAACATAGTTTTAAAATCTTTGTATTAACCATGAGAGTCTCACAAATACATTGCCACAAAATCTTTTAGAAAAGCTGTACGACGGTGAAACTGAGAAAGTCTACTCCGAGGGTGGCTGCAGCCTCTCCCCTGGGCACAGGGCTCAAGGCCCCAGGGGGAGGCACGGGGCGCTGGCTCAGGTTCTGAACAGCAGCATCCTCTCAGAGCACACCTGCCCCACCAGGCTCGCGTACTGCAGCACAGTGGCCTCCTCGCTTGGGTCTTTTTGGTGTTTCTTATAAACACTGTAAGGCATGATGGCTTTCTTGTGAAACACCCGCACTCGGTCAGGTTCCTTACTGCGACCTTGATCCACTGCAATGAGAAAACATGCTGATTAAAAATAGTTTTGTATCAAACTACTTTTCATTTCTTAACTTAAAAATATTCAATTTGAAATATAATTATATATCAACAGATTCTCCACAACGTGTTCAAGTGAGGGTATGCAGCATTAATATCCAGACCAACATATGTTAATAAAAAACAACAAATGCCTTTCTGAGCAGGAATAACTATCCTCCAGTATGACAGCTGAACTTTGAGACAAATCCTTACATGCAACTGAAAAGCTGGCCTTGTATACCTTTATGAGTTTCTGAGATAATAAAATTTACAGCTCTCCAGCACCTTTCCAGAGTCTAATTTAAATGTACTTTGCCTCTACCTGTACCAACATACTGGCAGAAGTTTTATCTCTGCAAAGAAGCTTTCTGGTGACTCAGCAGTTATGAGCACTGGGCTGGGCAATGGGTGCTCGTGTTCTCCACGGGACGGTAACTTCTCACAGCATCCTTAAGAAACAGCAGAGGCCATGGTGGCTGCTATTACTGGTTTTCCTCTTCTTCCATGTAAAAGAATCCCTGCTTTGTATGTGGCACGCAGGTTTCTCAGAAAGCCTGTTCCCCAGACTTCCTTGCAGGTAGGTGTGGCCTCTTGACCAAATTATGGCCACTGGGATACAAGTGGAAGTGTTCTGTGAGTTTCTAGGACTCTTTCAAAAGGAACAGCTGATCTATGGCTTCTGAGTTTCATTTTTCTACCTTTCTGCAGCCTGCAGACCAGAACATGGATGTGATGGCAAGAGCACTTACTTTACCTTGGAGCTAGCAGATAAAACGTAAAGGATTAGACAGACCCATCAGGGTGGGATCCCTACGACTGAAAATAGGTGGCTTAATAAGAAGACAGACATAAGAATACACCAGAGTACAACAGAAAAGTAGCATCCATGGTGGTGCATGCCTGTAATCCCAGCACTTGGGAGGCTGAGGCAGAAGGATTCCTGCGAGTTGGAGGCTAGTCTGGGTTACATAGTGAGTTCAAGGCCAGCCTGTATTACATAGTGAGACTCTGTCTCAAAAAACCAAAAAAAGCCAAAAAACCCACAAACCAAAAAATAAAGATCACTGATAATAGCAATGGAAAGAAGTGAAACACTGGTTTAAAACATCCCAAAATGATTCTAAGTTCTCTAAATGTAAAATTACATTTTTGAAAATGCCTATACTGGGCTGGAGATATAGCTCAGTGGCACAAGTGACTGCCTGGCAAGTGCAAGGTCCTGAGTTTGATTCCCGGAACAACAATAAAACCCCCCCCAACACACACCTAAAATACCTATACTTAACTGAATAGATTGATGTTTAGCAGTTTAAACCTTTATCTTAAAATATTTTATGACAGACATACTTTAATATTCCCCAAAATGGAACAACTTAGCCAATAAAAATGTGACATTTGATATACTTTAGCTAGAATGAAAAGCTTTCTTCTCATTTTTACACAAATATCGAAGTAGGATTGGGGCAAACACCACATTTACAGTTTTATCAACTTTTAAAAACTTTTATTCCCTGTAGAAAGTAGGAATTTTGTTGTTTCATTGGTCAAAATGTATTATTTTAATTGTATTTATTGAGATCACATGAAAGCTCAAAAATTTTATACATACACACTCCTCTCACATTTTTGAGAAATGATTATGTTTCAACCACAGAATTCCAAAATGGCTTATGAAGCTACTAATTTCTATTTCTGGACATATAAATCTAATTCAATCTCCTAGACTTCTAAATTAATTGATGGTATATTTAGAGTTTTATGACATAGAAATTAATCAAGTTTAATTGTTTTTTTGAGTCCAAGTACTACTTTTGAAACCTGGAATAATTCAGAAACAAATGCACAGTATAGTTATAAAGTACATACCAACAAGCTATTCACTTTTTAACAACATAAATAATTACAAAAAATGGTACTAATTTTAAATCTCTCCTCGTCAATATGTATGTATTCAAGTCAGTTGGAAACAGGTACGTTTAGCTTTAGTGTTCAAATATTTCAGAAATTTGTGCAATTGTTGTTATTTAATATTCCATATACTGTGGCACTGATTCTACTGCTAACTCACCAGATTATGCTGAGATTTTTTCTTATTTTAAAAATGAAAGAATGAAAACATATTAACAAACAGACATCCATTTACAAAATAGCACAAGAACAATACAAGCAATATTGAATTACAGACAAGGTGATAGGAAATTAACAATGGTTGTTATATTACATAGTGATATCTTCAAAGTGGTTGCTCAGGAAAACAAATATAGACATGCAAGACTGATCAAATAATTAATCATTAACTGTTCCTTTCAATGAAGTGATAGAAGTCAGTAGTACAACTGTTAGCTATCCTGTATATACATATATACATAATTTTCCCCTTCTTTCTTTTCTGCGCTGAGATTTAATAGAAATCCTTCTCATTAATTTACTGAAATACAAATTAACTTCTTCATTATCCCAGACCCTTTGTTTTCCCATTATTTCACTTTGGCTGTGCAAACGGCACTGAAACACTTGCAAACTGTGTGTTTCCTGATGTGTCACACCTTTGTTCATACCCAGCTACCTCCCTGGGCCGGTGCTCATAATGATGCCAAAACACTGGTGTCTCACACTTCACACAACCCCTAGTACCAAGGTAAGACTGCATTATAATTCTGCAGTCACATCAATTTAAACTCAATTCCCAAACTCTCTTGCGAGTAATTTAATGTATTCAACCAAGAAGGTATATTGTTAAACTATTAACATAAACAAATGAAAGTAGCCTGTCTTTTCCTTATTTAAAAAAAAAAAAAAAAAAACTCAAATGTGGAATTCTGCTTACTCAAAGCCAAAGCCAAACATATCAATCTAAAACTGCTAATGTTTTAGAAAAAGGGAGTGCAGATTAACAAGACACACAGTAACAGAAACAAAGGAAAGATAAATGGTACATTAAAAAAACTTGTTATTTCAATAAATTGAACCAAAAAATTACCTGGAATTAGTTATAAATGAATTAAGAAATATTCAGTAATAATTTATTATTTTTTATTTTACATCTTTTAAAATAATAAAAGCAATGCCTGTTGTAAAACTCAAACATCACAGCAATACACAAAGCAGAGCACCATCAACACCTGATCCATAATCCTTGCTCCTACATTTTCCAACTTGCCTCACCAAACTCTCCTCTAAGCTACCAGTGTTTCCAACTACTTCACAAGATATATTTAAATATTCAGAGACAGTTTTGGATCACATCCTAGCTATACTTAAAGCAGAAAATCAAATCGAATCAACTTGTCAATGGGTATTATTAACTTCAGAAACCATTAATTATCATAAATTTAAATATATTTCTGCTTGCTGGGCTCAAAAATCTATGGTTTATGATCATTTAGTTACATTATCAATGAAGGCAGATGCTGATTCTTAGTATTCTGCATAATTTAAATTAAAATTGACAGAAAAAAATCCTACCCAGATAATTACTGAAAATAAATTATTTACTATGGAAAAATGTATATCAAATCCTTATAAAATCCTTTAATAACCTTCACATGTTGCTTTTTGATAAATGCCATCAGCACTTATAGACAGAAAACTACAGAGCTAAACCATCATTGCACAACAGGCCATTTCTTGAGGGAACTCTGATAATAAGAGAAAAATAAGCCATTTTGAGAAGAAAGATAATTGCTACCTCAGCTAAGGGAAACTGCCAGCTTATTGAGATATCTTAGAAATGTGTTCCAACAAGAATTTCTTTCACTCCTTACCTTCCTATCTTACAATTTAATTTCACGAAATAAAAACCAAAGACAATCCAGAGAATTCTTCTGAGATGAGCATTTCATCATTAGTGACACAAAAATGCAGTCAAGTCTATGATATTTTAATCTTTAAGGAAAACTCTAGGGTGCAAGAAGTGCTTGATCTCCCCCCACAACACTCCCAAAACTTTTTACATACAAGAGATGGACTATGCAACACAAGTGCTTTCAAAGCAAAAGAATCTAAAGATCAAAGCTTTACTTCTCCTTATGGGGATTTAGTTCATTTGCTATTCTTAAAGAGACTTCAGGATTTTCTAGGCTTTTCCTAAAATGATATGTCTATTTTCTTAACTTCATTATTTATTGTTACATTATTTCATAAACAGGAAAAACAAGTTACACACTCTATAGTTGCCAATGAAGACAGCCACATAAATGGTGGACACAGCTAAACATACTGTAATTGGGTAAAACTGATATACTGGAAAGAATTGTGAACAGATGTATGACGGGGGAGAAATACTTGACTGGTTACTCAACTCTGGAAATTCAAAGTCAAATATGCCTTAGAATCTTTTGCAGTGACATGAGATATGAGCAAGTGTTTTAATTATTTTGGGGAGGAAGACAGGTGAGGAGGGTGTGTCAGAGGAAGCTTTTTGGTATAGGACAGCAAACGGGGAGTGTTGTGAGGGAATGAACAGTACAGTCATGTTAGAAAAGTAACTACGTTCAAGCAACTTCTTCAACATTGTTTGGTGGAAGGTTCAAACACTGCTTTGAGAATCCATCCTGGAGAATGTAATACATTTTCATATTCTATAAAGACTATTATTGCTTATAATTTAGCTGAGAATACTTTTATACAAAAATAACTTAAGACAAAGGTACGCTTCTTTGTAAAATGTCACTGCTTTATTGAGATGTCATCACACAATTCATCCATTCTAACTATATGGATCAATGGTTTCTAGTGTGTTTATAGAGACGTATGTACAAACCACATCAAATTTAAACCGCTCTCATTACCTGAGAAATAAACACCCTTCCCAACAGCAGTCAACATATTAAAGAACTACCACAGACTATTTTCCAAAGTGCTGCACCATTTTACATTGCCCCCACAGTGTACGGGGTTCTACTTCTCCATATGCCCATTAACACTAGTATTATCTGCCTGTTTTATTATTGCTATCCTAAAACATAGCG